CCAGAAAGATGGCTCAGCAGTTAAGAGCACTGACTGCTCTTGCAGAGGACCTGAGTTTAGCTCCAAACATCCACATCTGATGACTCACAACTACTTAAAACTATAGTCCCAGGGGATCAGGCACTGTGTTCTGGCCTCTGTGGGCACTAGGTATGTACATGATGTACATACATACAAACTGGCAAAATACACACATAAATATATTTTAACACTTTAGATTCAGTTTTAGCTTATATGTATGAGTGTTTGCCTCCATGTATGTATGCACACAACATTCATGGCTGGTGTCTGTGGAGGCCAGAAGAGAGCATCAGATCCCTTGGAACCAGAGTATGGATGGTTGTAAGTCACATGATTGCTTCTAGGGGTGGTGGAGGAGAAAGTTTATTGTAGATATATGGGAGAGCATAGTCAGAAACAGAGACATCTGGGAGAGTTGAATGGACATGACCAGTCTGAGCTGGGCCGTGTGGAGAAGTGGGGGGTAGGGGGAGAGGGAAGAGAGGGAACTAGGTGCAGCAGGCAGGAGGCCAAAGATCCAAAAGGGGTGGGTAACCAAAATGTCTGGATTATATAGGGACGAGTCTCTGATGGAAGAGCAGCCCAGGACCTGGGCTGGAGAGTTCAGGGTAGAGAGCAGGAATGCCAGCCATAACCTCTAAGAGGGAGGGACTGAGGGATGCTGGGAGAACCTGGAGGCCAAATCCACCTGTCTCTGCCTTTGGAGTATGGCTGTATGCACCACCACAGCCTGCTCCCTTTTTTTGGTGGGGTGGGTGGAGCACAAAGATTCAGCTAGATATGTTATAAACCTTGGGGACGCTCCTGTTTCTGTACCCCAAACATGGATGTGCTGTCATGCCAAGCTATTTTAAAAATTACATCCATTTATTTATTTATTGTGTGTGGTTGGTTGGCACATGTGTGACAGGGCATGCTTGTAGAGGTCAGAAAACTTGGGGAAATCAGTTCTCTCCCCATACTGTGTTGTGGGTCCTGGGTATGGGACTCAGATTGTTGGGGCAGCACCTGGCTTTTCATGTAGATGCTGGGGATTCAAACAGACCCTTTTTGTTGTGTGACAGGCAGGGTGCTGACTGAGCCATCTCCCTGGCCCCATGCTTTTACTTTAAAAGGGCACAATGATCTCTGCTCAAAAATCATTTCCTGAGATAATGTGTAAGATGCTGCCAGGCATTAACATTCACCGGCAGCTTGGTTGGGGTCCCCATACCCCATACCTGTGTTCTCGGATCTCCAGGACCCCCTCACCCGGATGAAGGGGTGGAAGGTGACACATTGCTAGGCCTCAGGCAGCTGTGTCTCTGCACTTGGAGCTGCTGAGCCATCAAGGGACAGGGTGGTGCTTGCCCTGGATGTGGGTCAAAGGGCATGGCACCTTCTAATTTACATGTTATCTTGGTGAGCTGCTACTGGTCTGGGGTGTGGACACACTGGAGGAAAGGCACAGCTTCTGCTGTTATGAGCTCGGTCTCCAGAGCCACGTGCAAAGGGAGAGTTGAGGTCCTGTGGCATCTCGGACAGAGCCCTTGTCAGTCCTGTGGCCACCATGAGCCTTGCTACTGTCACAGTACAGTGCATACAGGGAGTGCTTTGAGAGCCAGGCCCAAGTGGGTGCCTGCAGACACAAGCTAGTCTCCCCTACAACTCTGGTTCACTAGCCTTGCCTGACACGACCTTCCTGAGTGACCTGGGACCTCACAGCCAGCCACTGTGAGACAGCCATGCTTTACTGGAGATGGTGTTCAAACTGTTCATAAGGGCCACACCTGGCTCGCTGGTTGATTGGAGATCTTTTTATTCATTTTAATTATTTTTGAGACAGGTTGCTGTGTAGACCAGGCTGGTCTGGTACACACAGCCCCATCTGCTTCTGCCTCCTGAGGCCTATTCCACTATGCCTGGCTCTATTTTTGAGACAGGGTCTCCTGTAACCATGATTGGCTTCAAATTTCCCATGGAGTCAAAGCTGGCCTTGAACTTCTAATCTTTTTGCTTCCACCTTCGTAGTGCTAGGATTATAGGCTTGTTTTTAACATTGTAATCATTGGGACTGGAGAGATAGCTTATCCGTTAAGAGTGTTTACTGCTGTCCAGGTGGCAGAGGCTCTCGCTTTTAATCCCAACTCAGTAAATGGAGGCAGAAAGAGCTCTGTGAGTTCAAGGCTAGCCTGGGCTACAAAATGAGTTCCAGGATAGCCAGAACTACACAGAGAAAATCTGTCTTGAAAAATGAGATTGGGGGGAGGGGTGTTTTTTGTTCTTGTGGAGAACCAGGGGTTGGTTTCCAGCACACACAGAACAAGTTACAACTTCTGTAACTGCAGGTTCAAGGACCCAGTAACCGCCTCTGATCTCCTTCACACAGGTTGGCTCACATAAATAAGTAAAACCTTTAAATCACATCTAACTTGGAGCTCAGAGGACAATTTGCCAGAGTCAGTGTCTGGGAGACTTTACTCAGGTTATCAGGCTTTGCGGCAAGTCACTACCCACTGAGCCATCCCACCAGTCTGCAAGGGGTTGTCTTAATAAATGGACAAAAAAGCTGGTGAGATGGGGCCTTGTCACGTGGACACAGACACTTCTGTTCAGTCTTGGACACACACTAGTAATAAAATTTAAGACCACAAAAAAAAAAAAAAAAAAAAAAAAAAAAAAAAACGGAGCTGGAGATGTAGCTCAGTTGGTAGAGCACTTGCCTAGTACACATGAAGCTCTGGGTTCAATCCCTAGTACTGGAAGAATATTGTGCTGGAAGAATATTGTGCTCTTGTGTATACTCAAACCTGTGAGTGATCCCAGTGGAGGCAGGCGCTGCCCCCTGCTGCATTCAGAAGAAGCTGCAAGGGAACCTGAGGCTGCAGGGCAACTGCCTCCCGCCCAATCCAAAAGCTCTACCCTGGGAGGGGTGGTGCACACATGTAATCCCATCTCTGAAAAGCCTAAGACAGAGGATTGCTTCCGTTCAGAATCAGCCTGGCTACATAGAGTGGGTATTGTGTCTTTAAGAACTGAAAATCTGATTCCTTAGGGCAGCTGGGAAAATGAGGTTGCTGCCACTGGGAGACTGGCAGCTCCTGTGCATGGCCCGTGGCTTCTCCCAGGCTTCTGGCTGTGGCCCTTACAGCCCGAGTGACCTTCCTGGTGGTCCTTCCCAAGGTGGGTCTAACTCACAACGTCACAGTCCTGAGTCCCAAACTCTTCCCAGGACCAGTGCCCTCTGTTCTGTCCTTACTGCCACTGTCTCCAGTAGGCACTGTGCCCTTGAGAACTCACCACTCCCCTGGGGCTGCTGGGACCCTGACCACTCCCCTGGGGCTGCTGGGACCCTGACCACTCTGATGACCTCTGCCTGAGGGAGCGATGGAAGCAAAAGGACAGCAGCTGACACTCGGCATACATCATCTATGCAGCCACAGCTTTCCACCCTGGAGCAGCTAACTTCTTTTTGAGGCAGGGTCATGTAGCTCAGGCTGGCCCAGGACTTACGACGCAGCTGAGGATGATTTTGAAATTGGGATCCTCCTGCCTCAGGAACTCAGCTAGGGAAGTGCTTTGCCACCTGAGCCACATGCCCAATCCCAGCAGCTGTTCTGCTAACCCACTCCTGGTCTTGCCCCCCCCCCCCCCACCTCTCCAGGTATCTGTGCTCCTTCTACTGAGAATTCCATTCCCCGTCTGTCTAAGCAGCCAGCTTTGCCAGGGTTGGAGTGAGGTCTGGCCAGTCATTTTCTCCAGGATTGCTGCTATGGCTCAGGGTGATGGCTGTTCAGACATGGACGAGGTCCACCAATAATCAGGCATGAACTGGCTCAGGCTCCTAGAAAATACTTTGTTTTTATTATCAGACAGGGTCTTGCTGTGTAGCCCAACCTGGCCTAGAACTTGTGATTCCCGTGCCTCTGCATCCTGAGTTTATTTTTATTGCTCTGTGGTCACAGCAAACGAGGCGCGATCTCAATGGTGTTAATCCGGAGGACGGTCTGTGGGTTCACGATGACTGAAAAAGAGAACCTTGTCACAGGCTGGGCCTCATCCCTTCATAGACAGCTCGGTCGGTACCAGCTCACCCTAACTGCATTCTGCCTGGCCCCTGGCCATGTCCTTGGCCCCCACTCTATTTATTTGATGTGTAATGACCTCACTCACATCATGGGTTCCATCTACAGTTGCAAATGCTAGAACCCCAGCAGCCTATGGTCAAGGATCAAGGGTCTGCTCCCATAGCCACACTGACCCAAAGGCTTCAAGGGTAGGATGGACTACTCATTTGGAGAGACAGGGATGGGCAAGGCTCTCTCAGCACAGATTATAATGCTCCTGACTGGAGTGGGTACATGAGACTACATCCTACTGCCTAGGACGACTTCACAACTGCCACTGCTCCTATTTGGGGATGGGGTGGGGGTGCAGGGAAGGAGTTGAATTTAAAAAAAAAATTTATTGCATTTATTGTGTGTGTGCATGCAGGTTGCCCCAGTGTGTGTGTGTGTGTAGGTCAGAGGTCAACTTGGATGAAATCAGTTCTCTCCTTCCCCACGGGTTCTCGGGTTGGTAAGTATCTTTAGGTGCCAAGCCATCTCACTGGTCTGGCTTGAGACAGGGTATTGCTGTGTCGCCTAGGCTGACTGGGAAGTCTGCTTCAGCCTTCTCAGTGCTGGAGCACAAGTGTGTGCACTGTGCCTGGACCATCTTCTGCTGTGACACTCTCAGAGACAGACTCTGTAGCCACTCCACGACCCTGGGACCTGCCCTGGGGGCCCCTCTGCCCTGTAGGGATTGGTGTTCTGTGGCCCTCTATCTGCCATGGACCACCGGTTGCTTTAGGATAATGTCAACTGTCTACATCAGATCAAAGCAGGTAACAGGGCATGGGTCACACCTGTTAAGGACTGATAATTAGGCACTCTCTCAGGGATGAGGAGGTAGTGGCATTTGCACTGAGGCTACCCTGCACTTCCCCTTAGGAAACCCCCTTCCTCTAGAGAAGACAGAATGACGTGAGGGGCAAGAGTATTCCCTCTTGCCCTGCCTCAGCTACTGGGCACTGCCTTCCCATGACTTCCACCACCACAGAGGATTCTTGCCTAGCCAAGCCAACCACCAAAGGGAAAGCAGTGCCCTGTGCAGTCACCCTCAGACTCCGGCCTGTCCTCACTCAGGTCAGCTGCCTCATGGCACCACCCCTCCTTAAGAATACCTCATAATGGCCACAGTCTGGGGGAGGGGGGATGTAGGGAGGGAACTAACTAAAAACAAAAAAACCCTTCCCATGGGAGAGCTTGTCTTTGTTCTGTCCTGCCTCCTGTACAGCTCCTGCCAAAGCAGCCCTGGGGCTCTCAGCTGATACTGAGGGACCAGACTGCAGCCTTCTCCCATTGGTACTAGACACTGTGGCTCCAACCTGAACACCCCTAAGCTGGCCTCAGCCTCTCAACTCACACTGGCTCTAGGACTTCAGCATTCTCTGCTTCTAGACTTCAGAATCCGATCCTCTGTCTAACACCTCCTTTACTCCTTAAAACTCAGCCAGCTGGCCATGGCCTTGACCACTCAGAGGATGTTTGTATTCAGCATGTCCATGACACGTGACTCGGCTGAGGTGCATTCCTCAAGGGCTAATGCAGCATCATTGGGAAGGGAGAATGCATATTGCCTAGTGGTGAAATGACTTCAAAGGAGCACAGTTGGCTCCCCCCACTCCCCCACCCCCACTTCCTGCAGGGGTGATGGACCTGTTCCTGAGCATCTAATCATGCCTCCCTTTGGATTATCTGTGATGTCACATGCACAAACACACATGCCATCAGCACAAAGCTGCCTGCCAGGAGCTTTCTATCCTGTTGCCACCTAAGCCTGACCTGTGCCATGGAACGTGAACTATATCTGGCTCGTGTGGGAGTTGCTTCTGGTTTTCCAAGACAACCCCAAATACTACTGCTGTCCCCCAGTGTCTCAAGGTGGGTGCCATGATGGTTTACAGCTGCTGTGTGGTGTGCATGTCACAATGGGACAATGTGAGTAGTCCTGGGTCCCCTCCCCCACAACACTGGCATGACTATTAGGGATGACATCACCCTGGCCTGACCAGCTACTTGGCAGGAAACACAGGCACGGGGCCCCAACACAGTCTTGCACTTACTGTTTTTCTTCCTGAAGTTTTTCCTTTTCCTAAATTTCATGTTGATTTTGGGCCATGATTCTGTCTTTTCAATGACTGTGGCTTCAACCCGCACAAGATCCTTTCTAGAAGAAAGGAAAAGAAACGACAACTCAACAGTGCACTGACAGTAGACCTCCTTGATTGCTTTCGGCTTTATTCACACGCTGGTGAAGCTCCCCAAAGGAGAAGCCCTGCTTTTGAAAGGGGGGTCTCACGGAGCCCAGACTGACCTTGAACTCCCTTTATATCCAAGGAGTGGCTCTGACCTTCTGATCCTCCTGCCTCTGCTTCCTGTGCAGGGACAACAGACACATGCCCCACATCTGGTTTATTAACTGTAAACATTTTGAAAACAGTAAGAAAGCATAATGAGTATATAAAAAAATATTTTAGTCAGGTATAGCCTCCTAGTACTTGGGAGGCAGAGGCAGGAGGATGGCCATAAATTCAAGGTCAGTCTAGTACACATTGTGAGTTTCAGTTTAATCAGGGCTAAATAGTTAAACTGTCTCGAAAAGACAAAGGAAACTCCGTTTTTTAAAATTTTGTGTGTGGTGTTGAGACATAAACCCAGGGCCTCAAACTTAACAGGTGACCCTCTATCTCTGAGCCAAACCACAAGCCCTTAAGATGATCTAAAAGGTTATACTGGCAGCTGCCTAAGGTGGCACAGGCCTTTAAAGCCAACACCCAGGAGGCAGAGGCAGGTGGATCTCTGTGAGTTCAAGACCAGCCAGGTCTACCTAGTGAGTTTCAGGACAGCCAGAGCTGTTACACAAGAGAGACCCTGTCTTGAAAAACCAAAATATAATAAAAGAAAGGTTGCACTGTAATGGGTTAGCGATTGACCAATCACCTCACTGGATGTTCCCTGGGACAGCAAACACCCTCCAGAATGGTACAGGAAGGTGTTACGTTTAGCTCTCACAGTGATGTGTGATAGTTTCCACTGGGCACGACCAGACCATGTCCCATCTGTGCATCAGCCCAGGCCCTGTTCCAAGCCCAGTGTTAAGCAGTTCATTACCCGAGGAGTGGCTTGCCCAGGAGTGTGAAGTTGTCTGCCCCGACCAGCAGGACCTGAGAGGATAAAATGTAGCATATTTAATCCCTGGCTCCTCACCAGGTCGCAGAAACCATTGGGAGCACGCAGTGGGTGACACTCAACATGTTGAAACTGCACAGGAAATTTAAAACACAGAGAGGCCCAGGGCCCACAGTGGAGGGAGACAAATGACCTCTGCAAGCTGTTCTCTGACCCCCACCACCCACTGGAGAGGTAGATACGGGGGATCAGTAGTTTTGTCTACACAGCAAATCTGAGGTTAGCCTGAGATACAGGAGACCTTGTCTCAAATACAAATAAAATGGTCAGACTAAGGTGCTCTGGGTGCCATCATGCTGCCCAGCAGCATACTACTAGAACCTCTCAGTCTCTCTGTACCAGCAGGTGCAACAAATCTTGCTCTGAGCTCAAATGGAGGTTTTATGTCGGGGACTGAAAATTCTATAGAGGTACAGCTGGGTCTACTTGCCCTCCACCAACCCTGGTTTCCCTTTTGCTCTTCCCTGCACTGATCCTACTCCCCATGCACGGTGGCTGGGACTCCTGCTTTTCAGCACAGTTGAAAAAACCCTCTCAGTGATGCACATTTGGTGCCCAAGGCCCTGAGTTCACACAACAACCTGCACCTCACCTTCTCCAGCCGGATCCTCTCTCCACACTTGATGTCCAACTCATTTTCAATTAGAATCAGGTCCTCGGAGGTCACCTTCCATTGGTGGCTGGCAAAGTGCACGACAGCAAAGAGGCGGCCATACTGGCCCGTGGCGATCAGCTCATTCACCTTCCTCACAACCTCTGCAGGAAAGGACATGGCAATCATCCACCAGACAGGCAGCCAGCCATCTACTTGTGAGGAGTACTCCCTGCAGTCCATCCAGGCCTGCTTACCCACCCAATAGGCAGGTTCAGGGTTAGGCTGGTGCTTTTAGGAGCATCGGCAGGGAGTGTCACTTCTGCAGTTCTGGGGCAGAACCCTCACCTTGTTTTGCTTTCTTTAAAAGAAAAAAAAAAAAAAATCAACTAAGAACCAGCGGACAAACTGAGCATGAATGGTCATGCCTATAATCCAGTATTTGGGAGGCTGGAGCAGGAGGATTGCAGAGAGTTTGAGTCTAGCCTGGGCTCCACTCCAGGGTGAGTTACATGCAGACTGAGAAATGAAAGGACAGTCCTTCTGCAGCCTGGGGGCCAGAATTCTCTCTCTCTGAGGTGGCAGCCCCATCCCTGTTCCTTCTGGGCTCCCATCATCACTACTGTGCTGGCTCAAGTCCCCTAGCCACTGAGCACTGAGCCCCACCCCTAGGCTGGACACATAGGATGGACATGATAATTTCTGCCCTGGAGACAGAATGAGGCCAGAAGCAGCTCCTGGCATCACTAATGAAGGCTCAATGAGGAAGAACCTTCTGTGTCCTTGGGCTCAACATCTGTAGAACTGGGTAAACACAGATCAAAAATATTCAGAACTCAATAGCAAAAATCAAAATAAAACTTGTGCATGCACCAAACACGCAGACCTCTCCTGAACAGTGCAGTGGAGTGAGCACGTAGGTCAGTGACAGGTGTGCCCTAGAGAGGACAGGTAGGGCCTGTACAGGCCTCACACAAACACTTTGCTGTTCCACATCAGGGCGTGACATTCATGGATTCTGATAACTGGGAAATCCTCCCACCAAGCCCACAGTCCCCTAAGTAGGACTATATCTTGAATAGCATTTTAAATGCCAGAAGATTGGCTGCTGCTAAGATGGGAACTTCTAACTCTGGGAAACTCAGATGTGACTCTACAGCTGGCACAGCTGTGCTGCCTTTCCTGACACATAGCTCAGGCTAGACACGAACTTGTGACTCTGAGTGCCAGGATGCCAGGTATGCACCGACACGACATAGCTGGAGATACAGGTGCACCCACTCACCACTCCCATCACCTGGCTGCCTTGTGGCAGATGCTGGAGGGCTGTTTATCAAGTGACAGTACATCACAGGTGCTGTTGTTCAGAGCACTCAGAAACCTGCCACCTTGTTCCATGGCAATGATTACCTCAGTGGCTCATGAGAGTGGACACTAGGTACTACCCAAACACTTCCCTTTTTGTTTTGGCTTTTGAGATAGAGTCTAGGCTGGACTCAAACACTCAGTAATCTTCTTCCCTGGGCCTCCCAAGTGCTAGGGCTACAAAGGCCAACTTGTCTGGCCCCTGCAAAGTCTTACCTTTGTGGTGTTTTGTCTCTTCAACGGGGTCTGGCAGAACCACTTCTTCCCAGGGTGGTGAGCTCAGAGAGGTCTTAGGAACATATCTGCAAAAGCCATTTCATAAACTCATATCACATGCACATGAAAGGCAGCTTCGTGTGCCCAAGGAACAGTTGTGTGGTGTCAGAGGGTATGAATGTACAAGCTTGCTATGGAGGGATGTGAGACTCACAACACTAATGCTGGCTCGAGATCACTATCATAGGAGTTCCAGCCTTTCTGCTCCCAGGGGCATGTGCAGACTTCAGACCCAAGCCTTGCCTGTCTGTGCCATTAACAAGCACACAGGATGGCTCTGCACATGTCTGCAATGAATGGACACTCTCCCTCCATACCATTCTCAGTCTGTGGCCAGCCAATGACCTTGAGGGAGCAGGAGTAGCTGGAAGGAGCTGTTCTCTAAGCACCTCTGTTCTGAGTGACATTAGGTTCAGTGACTGTACAGGACAGAGCTAGCTGGGAAAATGGAATCTGGCAGGAGAGCTGGGCCTGTCACAGCAGAATTAGAACAGGCCACTCAGTGAAATGCCACTTGGGGGTTCTTCAGACTGTTTTATAATTTGTTCTGAGACTCAAAGATTGGTTTATGCCACTGAGAATATCCACACAACAGGTTCACTTAGTTTTTGGCCAAAAATGTATGTCAGATGCTATTCTGGAAGTATGCATATATGTAACTTTAACATGCATGAATGCATGCGTGCATTATTTCTGTTGGGGATAGAATTATACGTATGCATGTATATGTATGTATGTATGTATGTATATGCATTTGTTCTGGAGGAGGAACCTAAGGCCTCAAGTATGTTGAACAAACATGCTATCACTGAGCTATAGCCCCCTATAACCTCATCAAAATATACAGAAATTTTTGTTGTTGTTTTGCTTTAAAGACAGGGTCTTTCTATTATGTAGCTCTGGCTGTTCTGGAACTTGCTATGTAGATCAGGTTGGCCTCAAACTCACAGAGATCTATCTGCCTCTACTTCTCAAATGCCACCAAGTCTGCCATCACACCCAGCCTCTAATTTAGAGAAGTATTTTGTTTGTTTTGCTTTTTCACAGGGCTTCTCTGCATAGCCTTGGCTGTCCTAGAATTTGCTTTGTAGACCAAGCTAACCTTGAACTTGAGTGCTGAGATTAAAGGTATGTGCCAGCACCACCCAGCTTGAGAAGTCTGAACTTGAAAGTAACATTTCTACAGACAAATGGGAAAATCACCAAACCAATATACTGGTATTATTACCCTTGTGGATATGAAGTGCTCTGTGAATTGAATCTTTGAGAAGCAGACCGGAGGGCAGCTGTAGGAACAAGAGAAACATGGTGGGTAGTTACTGTGATGAAATGCACAGATCATGTTGTTGGTGTATGGTTTAACCTACTGTACCACAACCTAACTCTAAAAAAGTTCAGGCGAGAACTAGTGATGGCTCAGTGGGTAAAGTGCCTGCTATACAGTGTGAGAACCTGAGTTTGGATCACCAGCATTAAAATGAAAACCTAGGCACAGCACTGCCACCCATTTGTTACCTCAGCACTGGGGAGAGGGGGGTAGAGACAAAGGGATCTCAGGGGCTTGTTGACTAGCCAATCTAATCAAAATGGCCAGCTCCAGGTTTAGTGAGAAACCTTTAGAAATAAAGTAGGGAGGGGCTAGAGGGATGGTCAGTAGCTAAGAGCACTGGCTACTCTTGTAGAGGACAAGGTTTGGTTCCTGGCACCTACATGACAGCTTACAACTGCCTGTAACTCCAGTTTCTGGGGTTCCTGTAATAAACCACCTGTAAAAACCAAGTTACAGTAAAGACAAACAAGACAAATTAGGTTCATTAATGTTTATGATTAATTTTGTGTCTCAAGGAGCAGGCTATGCCCCACTCATAAACTTAACTACAAATGGTTCTGTATTGTCTGTTCCAGAAAATGGCAACCATGCCTCTATTTCAAAAGGTTATTAATGATCCCCTATTGTTAGACCACCTTGTTATAACTTGACTACCTTGTCATGACCACCTTGCAATCATGTCTTTGCTTCAGAAGGTTAGTAAAGACAACTCGTTATGCTTAAGTTTTGCTTCTGTAACCCCACCTATTTGACTGCTAAGTCCTCCTGACTCCTGAACTACACGAATCCTTATCTCACCCATGTCCAATGTTGACATCTTGAACCATGTCTTATGGGGAAGCAGCTGTGTACATGAATAAAAGTTTGATTTAATTAAAAAAAAGGAAGCAATAAAAAGAAAAGGTAGAAGACAAACAGTGGTCGCCTGACAACGTCATCTGGTCTGCACCGGCATGTACACACACACCCACCACCCACCACACACACTCTCTCTCTCTCTCTCCTCTCTCTCTCTCTCTCTCTCTCTCTCTCTCTCTCTCTCTCAAACCAAAACGTTCGGGCAACAAAACTAAAGACACATCACTTAGTTACATAACATGGTCTAAGACCCTAACATCAAAACCACTCACTCCTTTCTTCAAGGTCATTTTTCAGATCCGAGAGTGGCTAGCAGCCCGGGGACAAACGTCCACTGTCGGGCGTTGAAAGCCTCCCTATATAGCGGCTTCTGAGTCGCTTCTCTCTTTAGACCCCTCTGTATGACTCTGGGTGGTTTCTCTGAGGCTGTTTGCGTCTTTTTAATATAGGACCTACACATAAGTTTAAGAGCGCTTCAAGGAACCGCGTTCTCATCCCAGGTTCTCGTACTCCAAATACCGTGCAATAGTCACGACGAACGCAACCGACACACTAGGCACCCAGGCGACACACGTGCGGCAGACGCACCACTTCGCTTCTGTTTCCTCCCTCCCCGGGCCTCCCTGGTCTCACCAGCTCCGGGTCCCGAAGGTGCCAGGATGCTGCGGCTACATACAGACACCAGCCGCCCGAAAGCGCCTGGCAATGCCGAGGCCGCTATGGACGCCGCCATTTTTTCCACATTCCCAACCGGAAGCGGAAGCGGCGCTATCGTCGTTCATCGACTCACTACCCCGGTGGGAAACATCTGGAAGAGGGGGACGCAGGTCCTCACTGGAATCATTGTCAAGTCACAGTCACTGGAATCAGTGGGTTGGTAGAGAACACAGGAAAGGAGTCCGTCAGGATTCACTGCTCCGACAGGGAGTACAAATCCGTTGGGGGTCACTGGCCCGGTAAGGACACGGTCAGACGGGAACACGGGTCTCACAGGACTAACTGGTCGAGTAGGAAGCTCCAACCAGAGACTGCACCGCGGAGGAGATGGCCTCGTCCACCGTAGAAAGCTTTGTGGCCCATCAGCTAGAGCTGCTGGAGCTGGAACGGAACGCCGAAGTGGAAGAACGCAGGTAAGTGCGTCCGCGAGTCCCCGAGCCTCTGCAGCCCTCCTTCATAATCTCCCGGAGCAGATCTGGTGTTGGCGGCGGGCGGGGTCGGGCCCTCGCTGGTGTCAGGGCCGCACGCCTGTTATCCCAGCACTCCGGCAGTCGAGGCAGGAGGATCGGGAGTGCAAGGTCATCTTTAACTACATAGCCAATTTGAGGTCAGCCTGTGCTACAGGAGACCTTTTGCCACCATACCGCCCCCCCCCCCCGAAAAACCAGGGAGGAGGGTGTTCCTGAGATCAGCCTCCTAGAGGAAAGTGGATGCATATTATTGTGCCTGAAGAGGCGGCTTGTTTCTGAAAAAATGTCTACAGGCCTGCAACAGGCAGAGCCTGCACTTCTTTACCCCGCAGTGCCATCCCTGCAATGCATTCCCTGAGGAAAGACAAAGGCTGGTGAAATAACTGGCCCAGGGTAACCCACATGGAGGCAGGACTTGAAGCTAGTCGCAGCTGCGACTATTGGTTTGTTGAGTCAGCCAGTCATAATGAGTAAGGGTTTTTGCTGCCCTGGCTGTGGGACTATGGAATTGAATACCCGAGTTTTCCTTACATCATCTGTAAAGGCATGCAGTTCTTATGCCACATGCTTGCAGTGAGAGTGAAATGATCTACTGCAAGCCAACTAGAAGCTAGAATCTTGAACCACAGTTAGGATGTTGGGAATAAGAGGCAGAGAGGGAGTAAGGTATAAATGGGAGGCCCCACAGGACTTGCCTAAATTTGGAGCAGATGTATGGGAAGACTGCATTGGCAGACCTGGAACATGTTAAGCAGTACCAGTCCTGGGAGATGTGGGAGGGGCAAGGTTGGAGTGGAGCAGATTGCAATTTACTCTGGGACATTTGGTTGCCTATAAGCAGAATCTTACCTTTACTGCATGGGTGGAAATAGGAAAGGGTACAGGCACAAACAATGAAAACGCTATCTTGAGTTTCTTCCAGGTCCTGGCAGGAACACAGTTCTCTGAAAGAGCTCCAGAGCCAAGGAGTGTGTTTGCTGAAGCTTCAGGTATCCAGCCAGTGCACTGGGCTGTATGGACAGTGGTTGGTCACCTTTGAGCCCAGGAAGTTCGGGCCTGTGGTGGTGCTTCCCAGCAACAGCTTCACTTCTGGTAGGTATCTGGTATAGGCTTCTATTGGCCATTCTTGGTGTTCAGATTAAGGCTTGTGTTCTCCCAAAGGCTGGAGGACAGACCCAGATGGAGTATGAAGTAATGAAAACTTCCTATTTAGAAATCTTACAATTACCATGGCTGGTTTTGTTGTTTTGAGACAGGGTCTGAAGTTTACTGTACAGTACTGTACTGAAAATGACTTTGTGCTTTGAACTCCTGATCTTCCGGCCATTACCTCCCAGGTGCTGGGATTACAGGCCTACACCATCATGCCTGACTTTTTGTTGGTTTTTAGAGCCAGGAATGTGACTCACTGTGTAGCCCTGGTCCATCTGGAACTTTCTGTGTAGACCAGGTTATACTAGAAGTTGCAATGAGCTTTCTGTCTCTGCCTGCTGAATTCTGGAATTGCAAGTATGCACTACTTGTTTGGCTGTTAATACACTGCTTTTTGGTTGCCCAGGTTGACAGCTTTATCTTTATAGTGCCTGAGATGGAACCCAAGGCCTCTGGCGTGCTGAGCAAGCACCCTGCCATTGCATTGCACTTTGGAGTTTTTTGACTCACACCAGGGATGCTAAGTTGGCGTTGGCCTTAGCCCTGAAAACTGAGAGCTGGTGGTGCTGCCTGGTTTTGTTTTTTAATGTGAATTGGTGTTTTGCCTTCATGTATGTCTATGTGAGGATGTCAGATCCCCAGGAACTGGAGTTACAGATACAGACAGTTGTGAGCTGCCACGTGGGTGCTAGCAATTGAACCCAGGTGCTCTATAAGAGCAGTCAGTGCTCTTAACCACTGAGCCATCTCTTGAGCCCTGGGCTGTCCTGTTTTGAGTGGAAGCCTTTGGCTTCATAACCTCTTGTCTCAAGAGTTTCAGTTCCCCTGCTGGGTTTGAAGGAGGTAATGGGAAGGTAATGAAGGAACCTGCTGGTGGGTGTGAGACCAAGCAGAACTTGAGATCTTGACTTTGTTAATGGAGCTACATTCAGCCTGCTCTGACAGAAGTTGGGAGGAAGAGTGCCTGCCACTGTCAGGCATGAGGGAGCAGGACAGAGCTTGTGCTTTGTGTTCTCTGAAGCTGTGTGGAGTCTGGCATGATGGGGGCTGGTAACAGAATTGGACCTTTGTGTGGAACACCAGCAAGCTGGAGTGGTGGTATGTGGACACGGCTGTTGACCAGATTCGGGGGATGTGGCTACTGTCCATCTTCAGAGGTGCAGTGTCAAGTCACAGTCACTCGGAAGTAACAGTCTTGAGATGAGGGATCCTGCACAGGATGGGATATGGGGAGTCTGACACACAGCTCAGCTCCTGCCCCAGGAGCATCATTGTCATATCCTGTTTGTCTTTCTAAAGTCAGGGAGGAGACCAGTAAGAGTCAAGGCACAGGTGAAACTCACACATGGGTGAGGTGTTTCTCTAGGGAGAAAGGTGCTTGAATTCTGTCCCAAGGATCCACATGGTAGAAGGGGGGAACCAGCTGCCACAAGCTGTCTTCTGACCTTCACATATGAACAATAACACTCACAGATAAATAAATACATGATATATTGTTTGCAATCATGTGTATTTGTTTGAAATATTCTGAAAATGATTACATACCGTAATATTCAGCTGGGTTTGTTTTCACAGGTGATATTGTGGGTCTGTATGATGCTAATGAGAGTAGCCAGCTGGCCACTGGGGTCCTGACCCGCATCACCCAAAAGTCAGTCTCAGTGGCCTTTGATGAGTCTCACGATTTCCAGTTGAACCTGGACCGAGAGAATACGTACAGACTGCTGAAGCTCGCCAATGATGTCACCTACAAGCGACTGAAAAAGTGAGTTTCAGACTGAAAATCGGAGGGGTGTTTTCCTTGAATGAGACTCATGGATGCCCTTATTTGTGTTGAGGGAGGGAGTGGTCTGTCCACTGGGTGCTGTTAGGTGATGGTGTCCCCAAACTGCTATCTCAAAGAGCTCCTCATTTTGGCTCTGGTTCCTCATAGAGCGCTGATGACACTGAAGAGGGGCCACTATGGGCCAGCATCCTCACTCATAGATGTCCTTTTGGGTGGCTTCCCCCCAAGTCCCACCGCTGAAATACGTGAGGATTTTAAAATTTCTTTTTTAAGATTGTGTGTGTGTATGCGTGTGCATGTATGAATGCATGAGTGTCATGCTTGGGGAGCTCAGAAGGACATTGAATCAGCTGGAGTTGGGGTGGTTGTGAATTGTTCGGCATGGGTTCTGGGAACCAGCCATGGGTCCTTTGCCACAGCAGTGCATGCTCTTAACCACTGGGACTTTTTAATTTCTTACCTGAAATTATGTAGGACAATGTGACCTTGTGCTGTTTTAGCAAGAGTTCACATTGAGTTTGCAATGTCTGCCTTGGCATCTTTGGATGTGTTTCTTTTCTCTGAGTGATTTGCAGACTCTAGGCCATCTTCCCTGGAGTTACTACCGAAGGAGTTCTCACTGCAGTTTTCTGCATAGCTGAGACTAGCCTTCAACTTGTGACCCTCCTGCCTCTACTTTCCAAGTGCTGGGCTATAGGTGTGCACCAACACACTGTGTGTTATATGTGTGCACATGTGTGTGCACACCACGCATGCTACCTAGGTGTTAATAGCCAGAGGTTGCTATCACGTGTTTTTTTCTATTTATTACTGTTGTGTCAAGTGTGCATGCAGAGATCAGACAATAGCTGTATGAGTTGGTTTTTTCCTTCCTGCTTTACATGGTCCTAGAAATTGAACACATTTTATCAACTTATTTGATGACACCTTTACCCACTGAACTGTCTTATGTTTGAGTTTTTGAAGGCGGTCTCTCACTGGATTTGGACCTCACTCAATAGCTAGGCTGACTGGCCAGTGAGTCCCAGGAATCTACCTGTCTCCATTTCCCAGTGCTGGGACTATAGATGCCCAGCTTTTACATGGTGTTGGAGATCTGAACACAGTTCTTCATGCTTGTGTGACAAAGCACTTTGCCTACTGAGCAATCTCCTCAGCCCCCACCACAGTTTTAAAATGATAGTCTTTTTTTTTTTTTTTTTTTTTTTTTTTCCTTAGTAAGTCTGTGTGGCCCAGGTTGGTCTTACTCTCAAACTTATGCTATGGCCAAGAATGATCTTGAACTCCTGACATGCTTCCCCCTCCTGAGTGCCACTACACCCACCTCAAAAATATATTTGCTCCCTTTAAAGACTGGTGTGTCCTGATTGTAGCTGTTATCTAATTAACAAGAATTAGATAGAATGTAGAATGTGCCAGAAACTTGGGATTTGATAGTGTGTGCTTTGTCCCTCATCCTGCTCTTTTGATGGTTTACAGGCTTGTTGCCTGTCACTAGTCCAGGTCAGCACCCTTTTCATAAGAGCTTGGTGCACTCGTCTGTTGGGTGTCTGTGGTGGACACTGGTTCAGAGCTGAGCACAAGAGGCCATTTGGGCCAGAGTACCTCAGTGGGTCAAGTGCTTACTGTGTGAATGTGAGAGCCTGAGTTCAGATCCCCATA